GGCTGGGTGTCACCCGAGGATCCCGGGGCTTTTGACACCTTTGGGACACGCACCAAAGCTTGCCTCAAGCCGGTGACTAAGCCCAGTCTTTCACCCCAGCCGGTTGCTCAACGGGAGCGAGAGGAGCCGAGGCGTCGCCTCCCCGAGCCGGGTGGGCCCCGCTCAGCCCCTGCTCTCGCCTGGCCACGGCCGTTTGCTCCCGTCGGGACCCCAAAATCCTCCGAGCCCCGGGAGCAACCGGCCCCCTGCCAGCACGGGGAGAAGAGAGGGAGCAAGAGCGGCGCGTCGGCATCCAGCGCTGCGCTTAAACGGCTGCGAAGAGCCTCTCTGAGCAACAATGCCAAACTTGTCCGGCTCTGGATCGCTTGACCTCAGCATGTCTCGGCTGAGACAAGGCAGAGGTTTCGTAGTCACCTCTGATTTTCATTTTCTCCAACGCTGGCCGCACCGCAGGGCCGGGGAGGCAGCTACTGCGTGGGTATTAAAGTAAAACAGCCAAGCTGCCACAAATGCTTTGATGGCTCTTACATAACTCCAGCTTGACCTGACAATACCCTTTTAAACCTCCAAATCTCTCAAAGCCATAAAAATCAGCCAGAAAAATTCTCATTTTATAATCATATCTCCCATCCCTGTACAGCAACTACCGGGCTCAAACACGAAAGGGACAGAAGTCCGCAAGGCCAAAACGCAAGGGTGGAGTTTCAGCTCCGATTCTTAGCCTGAGATAGCACCGAAACGCAGCCGCTGCGCCCAGGAACGTCCCTGCGCTCTTAGGAAACGCGCTTAGGAACTGACAACAGAGAGCAGACAGGAATTTGACTCTTGCATTTGAAATGCAGTCTTTCATCGTGAGTGAGCTGGTTGAAGGCCAAGCGTGGGCGTTCATGCATGCATGGCAGCATGCGTCTTCTCACCCCTTTTCCCCCCCGACCGTCTACTTGTTTGAATTTCTGGTCACAAAGCTGTGAGATGCAAGGAAACTTAGCTTTAATTCTGCGCCCAGCTGCAGTCACTGCCCCTCTGGTGCCAGGCAAGACCCCACGCGCCTTCACCGACAGCAGCCGGCGATCGCTCTGCTAAGGGTCTTATCCCGGCTGAGCTGTTAAACAAGAAGCCGCCGTGCTGCTTTACGCAAGATCTCAGGCAAAAGCGATGCTGGGGCGGCGGGAGGCTGAACGCAGAGCTGGGAGCCAGGAGTCTCGCCTGCTCGCATCCGACACGCTGCCGCGCAAGCTGCCGGGAGGCGCTCGGAGGGCTGCTCCGCAGGGACACCTCGCTACTCATCACTCGAGGCAGCCCAGTTTCCAGGGCTGACTGTCCCCCGCGGCTGCTGCAGGGGGAAGCGGCGCAGGTGGCACGTGAGGCCTGGGAGCAGCTGCCCTCCCTGCCGGGACGTGCAGCCGGCCGGCGAGAGGGAGTTACTCGGGAGCTGAAGAAGCTGCCGTAAAAAGCAAGCCCAGGAAAAAGGAAAGTGGACGAGGGCAGACAACCCGGCAGCTGGGGAAGGGCCTACATGCAAACGATGTGCTCCAACCTCCTGCTGAGTCACACAGGGTCTTTCCTAATCAAAAACCTACAAAAGCCGAGTTGGCAGTTTGCGCGTCGCTGTCGGCTCGCTGCGTGCACACCACACGCCAGCGTTCAGCCCCTGGAGAAGAGCGCATGGGAAGTGACCTGCTTTCACATCCCACACTCGCTCGTCCCCACTCCCTCCAGCAACGCTTTGTCTGCTCTCAGGTAGATCATAGAGAAACACAACGTCGCAAGCACGGAGCATTTCTGCAAAGTACACAACACAACAGCTGCTGTGAAGTTCCCACCACAGGCTTTTTAGCCCCAGGCTTTGTAGCACTCTGAGTTTTATTTATTCAGGTTCAGCAAACTCACAAGATGAAAGCGAGATGGAGAAGTGTTTTATTAAGAAAGAGTCCATCATTATTTAAAAAAAAGAAAAACAACCATCTTTCTGTCCTCTTCGAGATGGATTGGAGGCTTCTTAGCCTGGACGTTCCCCTCAGGACCACGCATGCTCCTCCTACGCTGTAAACCAAGAACTTGTGTCACAAGTCTCACTGTAGAAGAGACAGCTCAAACGGATTTTTCTCTCGCTGGATCTACCTTGGTCATGATGGGGAGGAGGAGACTTGGAAAAGGTCAGTCTCCTCTGCCTTGCTTCTCTTCATTTGCTAACCATGCCTTAACCCGGCTAAATCTCTCTTGCCCCTAAGGAAGGACCTGGCTTGCCTTGCACTCAGCCGTGGTGTGTCTGCAAACACGTTGCTCTGTGCTTTGGGGGGGCCGAAGCACTGGACGTCGAACCCTTAGTGAAAGGGAGTCCAACAGCTGCCTGGAAAGGCTTTCACTTGGTCTAAGTCACACAACACAGAGAATCCCTTAAACTCCTGGTAGGAAAAGGAGAGATGTTAAAACAGCGAGCAGCTGTGGGAGAGGCAGCTGTGCTACATATCCATCACTTCTTCTTCCACGGCCTTGTCCTGAGATCGCACATACTTCTCCTGCACTGCAAGTGTGCTGATAACTCATAAATCAAGGAAAACAAGACAGCAGGGGCTGGGCTCAAAACACTCCTTTCTGCAAGGAGTTCTAAGGTTCTCAGCAAGGAACCAACCCCACCATTAGCCTGGAGGCTGGCAGGAAGACAGCAGTACCCGTAACAACATGCATCAGCTGAATTATTTCTGGCTTTGGCTGATCATAAACCTGACAACTACAGGGGAATCAATTATAGAGTTTGGACAAAGTGGAATGAAACAGTCCAAGTGAGCATGAATAAGAGGGAAGTTATCAAAAGATTCCACCCACATTTAAGATATCAATTAGCAACAAATGTGGTGGCTTTGGTGTGGACAACTGTCTGCTAAGATCTGGGCTGAGCCCTACCAACCTGTTGCACATCTATCACCAACCAGCATCGCATTATGTTACTAACAGCCTGGGCCTGCAAGCTGCCAGGCCCACATCCCTGCCCCTTCCCCCAATCCATGAAAGAGAGATCAAAACTCAAAGCAACGGAGCGGAGAAGGATACGAAGTAAAGTGGAAATCAGCTCCCACTGCTGCTGACATCAGAGCTTCGAGGCTCCTGTGCTCCTGGTCTCCGAAGGAATAGCCGTTGGCTTTGTCCACTGCCTGCATCACCCGCCGCATGCTCTCCTTATCCTGAAAGGAAGGGAGGTGACACACTGATCCTTCCCCAGAGGCAAGAGCTAATGCTGTTGGCCCTGGAGAGTTGGCCAATGAGCGTAAGGTCGAGAAGCAGAAGGGACTGAACTGCAGACTAGGCTTCACCATACATTTTCTCTGAGGCACTGAATACACAACGTGCTGACATCCTCTGCCCTCTCACCTCCTTCTACCACCTCTAAGCACATCTCCCTCTGTTGCCACTTCAGCAAACTACAAAAGTAACACCTTAGCCCTTCCTCATAAACGTATTCCTCCCATCTTCTAATTATCTTGTGCTCCCTAATTTAACAATGTTTTAGGTAATACTTTGCCCAGAATTGAAATGCAGGTGCAGAAGAGATGTCCACCCCAGGAAAGAAGGCCTACTTAGCCCCAATTTCATTAGCCTTTTCTTGTCCTTTGGCTATCACAAACCATTTACAAGGTTGGGTGTATTTCACTGCCCTTCTCCATCCCTGTGTTCCTCAATATTTAAGCTTCCCATGCCTCATGGCTTTACTTCCTACAACCACGTTTTGGGGGCAGAGGCAGTGAGGGGCTTTGGCGTATGACCTTGAAGATGCACCCTTTCTTCCGCCTGTCGGAAGCCCAGACGTAACCTAGCTGCTAACAAATGCGTTGGCTACACGTCCAATGCTCTCTGTTCTCTCTACCCCACTCTTCCTGCTGCATCACCTGGACGTTAAGCGGAACGAAGGACACCAGGCTGTAGTCTTCAATCACCTCCACCAGCTTCTCATTGAGGCGGCGGTAATTTCTGAAGAAGGGGTCGGAAGCTAAATGGTCAACCAAGTAGGAGAGGTCCAGGACCTCTGTGTAATAATCCAGGTTGAAGGCTGCAAGGAAACATCAGCAAAGGACCTTTCAGAACCTGCCTCCAGAGCACAGCACCTCCAGAGTGTGATTCAGATCTCACATGGGCTAAACACACCCCAGAGGTGCCCAACTTTCTGGATGCTCTAGAGCTTAGTATAACCGTGCTCCTAACTTACGATTAGGTGGGCCAGAGCCTTCCCCGCTGCGGGGAAGACACTGCTTCCCAAAGGCTCCGTTAACAGCACAAAGCCCTTCCAGGCTCTTCAGCAGGTGGGTTTCAGCAATGGGGATTCTCCCACAGCAACATGCACCTGCTGAAGTGCAAATTGCAGCTTTGCCTTGCACACTCCTGCCAAATTCGGCTCACTTAGTTTAAATTAATATCAAATATGGATGCTAACAGGATCAAAAGCAGACAACAACTGCACCAGGGGAGACTCAGTTACCCCAGCAGCACTGAGGCTGGGCAGAGTGAGAGAGCAGCAGCTGGCGATGGCAAGAAAGAGCAGACTGTGACACACACTGGTCTGATGTGCTCCCACCGGACCCTTTGTCAGTGCTGTTTCTCCTGCTTCCTGAGCAAGTACCTCTGAGGGCACTTTGTGGGTATTGGGGCTTCCCCAGCCAGAACGTGCCACCAAGAAACCAGAAAAATTTAGAACCGTTCCCCGACCATCTCCCAGCAACACACCAGCGCAATGCTGCAGCTGAGCTGCTAGTCTGCCCCTGACCCAGCCCAACTCTACGTCTCTCTCCGGCAAAGACTCTTCTTACCCAGCTTGCCATATTGTTCGATCAGGTCCATCTTGGAGAGGACGTTAACGTGGGGCAGTTCCACGTGCAGCATGGTGGAGAGCGAGGTGCACAGGACAGAGATGAACTTGCCAGGATCCGTGCAGTAGTGAGAATCCACCAAGTGAACTGCTGCCAGCTGGATGGCAGAGGCGCAAGGGGAGAGCACAAGGTCAGACACAGCGAAGAGCCCCTCTACTCACTTTTGGGACAATCAAAGAAGTGGTTACTGAACGGACACGATTATAACCACATAGGTTCCCATATTATGAAAGCTACCTCCTAACTTCTAGCTTGTGTATATGAAACATCCTCATATAAAAACACGCTTGTATATGTGTGTGTGTGTGTGTGTGTGTGTGTGTGTCTATTTATAGATCGACATTTACACACATAGACCACCCGAGGGATTCAGGGTGCCAGCAAAGAGAAAGACCCGTGAGAAGACTTATAGAGGAGTTAAGCTCCACCAGCAGTGCTGACAGACACTTCGACTTGCTACTGCTCTTCTGTTTCTCAGGACTTCTTTCTTTTGCAGCTGAAGCAAGGAAACACGCTTGTCTGAACTCCGCAGATTTTTGGGGGTGGGAGTCTGGGTTAACTCTCATTTTGAATTACAGGACTGCCGTGAGATTCCCACCTTCCCCAAAGGAATGTTCATGCACGGTGCACACTCGGTAGCAGTAACTATAGTACACCATACTCTGCTGGGAGAAACAATTGTCATGTGGTTTGAAATAATAATTAATAATTAAATTAACGAGCAGTTTGATTCCCTGCGTTTCATGCAGCTCTAACAATGTGGCCTAAGATCTCTGTTAAGTTACTGCCTGTTACACAATGTTACTCAAAGTCAGGGCTCTATAGTCAAGTGTGGTTGAGTCACAGCTATGCTTCTGCAGCAGAAAAAGCAAGTGTAAAGCTCATAGGCAGGGGTAAGCACTGTTAGTGCTAAACTGAGCATCAAAAAAGAGCGTAACTATCTTATTTTAGCAACTGCAATTTCATGTACATTTATTTGAATAAAAATCAATTCTAATGTGCAGATTCCCAGTGACATTCTCAAGCAAATGAACCTGCCTTTCTTGCTCACACCATACATGGTGTGCACATTCATGGTTTGGCCCAAATGCAAAACAAATGCAACGTAGGCAAGTTAGCTTGGTGACGGGACTCTTCTCACCTGCATTTCCTAATTTGCATCTTCCATTGTGCAAGAAAGCACACGGCACGTATTACAGCGTGCACAGCGATTCGGGTTGGCTGCAGGAGTGGCAGGTAGGGCCTGAGATGATGCTGACTTTCTCACAGTGCAATGCCAAGGATCCCGACTTCCCCAGCACACACATCTACCTCCCTGCTCCAAAATATAGCCTCAGATAAAACATACAAGTTGCATGCACAGGACCTGAGAGCAAAGCCAGAGTGTGGGAGGAAAGAATCCCTCTTTCTACCCCTGATGATGCCACCGCCAAAGTCCTGAGCAAGGCACTCTTTGCCAATCCCTCCAAGCATAAAATGGGGGCAAAACTCTTCTCCTTCCCTGATAAACCCCTTGAACATGAAAGGACAAAGAGATTAGCAAAGAAAAGAATCATTATTTCCCACATCCACAACCAAAAGCTCCGACCACATGGTGTAAAAATCCTGAGCCCTTTTCACAAGCACACATGGGTCCAGGTGGTGATTCCAGCCACCTGCGAGGCCCCAAACCTACCCTGAAGTTCCACTTGGCCAACTGTGCGAAGACGTTCTTCAGGGCGTTGTGGTGGGTGTAGAGCTCCACCTGTCCCGGACAGTCAAACAAGTAGTAGTGACCCCTGAAGGCAGCCAGCTTCTCCTGCAGCCAGTCGAAGTTGGCCTCCAGGTACTCCATGCAGTAGATCAACCCGCCGTTGGGCCCCAGCTTCAAATTCTCCATCACGTCCGGCAGGGTGATGAGCTCGGAGACATCCACGGCGCACTGGTAGGGCGTCACCTCGTTGGCGGGGTCCAGGTTCACCACGACCACCCGGCGCCCGATCCTGGCCATGAACTCCTGCATGCCGTGGCAGTAGGTCGTCTTCCCCGAGCCCGGAGGCCCAATCACTACCTGCCCGAAGGCCAGGGAGGCCCTTTGGCTGTTTTCAGACATCTTGGCTCATTTCCTTCTCCTCCTGTTGTCTGCAAGAGGAGCAGCTCAGCTTTACCGTTGTATTTGCGTCTATAAGAAGGCGATCCGCTGGGCCCCGAGCTCGGCGGGGAATCGGCCCGCCAGGAGCGGGCGGAGGGGCAGGGAAAGCACCACTGCGTGA